CAGAATCTGTTAATATTTTTGTGCAACACGCTACGGTGCATGGCGCTTGAGCCTCAGCATGTGGCACAGAGAGCAACACACAGTGGCGCAGCATGCATGAGCTGCGATGCATTGCCCTGTCTCACAACAAACATGTTGTTTTTAATTGTTGTCACTCTTTTTCACTCCTCCAATGTATTTTATGCTTTTGTAACTTATTTTTACCCTAATATATGAGATTATGATTGATTTGAATTTATTTTGATTAAGAAAACTTGGGATTCATAGAATTTGAACTAAATCTTGGAAATCACCTTTATGTGTTAATATTTTAATTACTATGAGTTTTATTGATTAATGGTGGTTAGTAGAGTGAGATTCTACAACAACACCTTCGAGTCAACTTTCAAAATGCATCATTTCACCGTCTAATATTTAATTTAAATGATTCAAGTATTCATACATAGCTTTTGAGCCACACCTAATTATTGGCATTGGTTTCATTATAAAATTATTTACCATTAAAAAGTTGGACAACTGGCACAAAATGATCCCTTTTTCTTTCAAAGCTCACCCTAAGGTGTCCAAAACCATCAATTAAATGTCAATAACCCTAAGACCACTTAAACTAACTCAATTAGACCACAATGTACTTAATTGATAAATCATATATCAATAATTACATTCTAAACACAATTTGACCATTGAAATCTTGATTTCTCAATAATTAAGGGGTAGCAGTAATCTCATATAATAATCTCTTGATCAATCATACACGTACAATTAACACGATAATGACATTTATACAAGTATTTTGGCCTCTAACAATAATTTCTAACACAACACAATATCTTGGGTAGAAATACACCTAAAACACCAAATTCTCATATAAGTGTACCAAAACAATGCACAATCTTAAGTTGGCATAATTTTACAAATGATTTATTACAATAAATCAAGAGAGAGAATTATACAAATACAACCTCCTCAAACCCCTGTAGTATTCTCCTTCTCTTTATCCCTATTAAAGCCTTCTCTTGTAAAATAAAATCATGGGGTGAGTTAATGACTCAGTAACTAAATAATTTGATATATTCACTAGTATACCGAAATAGCATATGAGTGTGTGAAATAGCAAGTAAAACATTTATTAGATACTAATTCATACAATGCATGATTAATACTTTCCACCTTAGATTCTCTTTATTTTCTCTAACTGAATCTGTAGATTGATAATATAATAGAACCAAGTCTATGTAATTGGACTGGCATCAGCTCACTAATCAAAGGAGTCGGCCTTGACTAAAGATGCCTTAAACCATTTTGAACCACAGATTCTCCTTTTCTTAAATATTTGAAATGTCGTATGTCCAATCTATCTTCAAGATAGTATTGAGACTTCTAAATAAAGAGACTATGCACCGAGGCTTTTACAGTGCCAATATATCATATAGATTTCATACAATAACCTCTAATAACTCTAGGGTGAACTCTTACTCTCTCACAATAATTATACCCATACAATGCCAACGAGACATGTTATTTGCAATAAATGATCATACAACAGATACTAGCATCTCATATTTGTATCCTATTTCACAATGATTTACAAATGAGTATGATTAAGTTTTAAATGTAGAAATAATAAAAAAGTTTAATACCACTTCACACAAGTTTATAAAACACCAAAAACTTTCATAAATTACTAGTTTTCACAATAAATTATATATATACATACATACACACATTTGCAAAATTCATAACCACTTAAATATACAAATAAAATGACTAGATTATCTAGTTACCTCAACTCTTTTATTACAAAAAAGGTTATTGTGGCAAATTAATCATCCTTCTAGATTCCGCTAGCTTAACGGGGCTAGATCAATATTTAATCTATAAAATTAAACACTAATCATTAATGTTTAACTCTAAATATTCCCTTTTTGGCGTAATTTTGAGTACTCATTATACTTAAATTTTTTCTTTAGCAAAATTAACATTTCCAACACACTCCATAAATTTCATTAACACCTAAACACTTAGATAACATCACTACATTTCTCCCAATCTTTTAATTTCACTTAGGATTCATCTAAACTCTAGCCAAAAATTCCAAATCATTATAAAATCCTTAAATCAAGGTTAAAGGCCTGATTTAACTCCTTAGAACCCTAACTAAGCAATAGGTTCAGTCAAAACCTAAGAGAGGAAGAAAATCAACACTAAAACTACCCAATCTCATATAAATTTCGCATAGAAATGAAGGAGAGTGGATAGGAAGCCCACTCAAGTGCTAAATCAATGTAGATTGCCTTTAAATTGCTCTAAAAATGAAGCTTTAATAGTCCTAAGCTCCTCCTTTGTCACCTTTCACATTCCATTTTCTTCCCTTCTCCATTTTTTTAATTCACAAGCATATAGGATATATTTAGATTTTTGCATATCTGCTACAGAGCCTGTGGATGGCACACTGAGACTCAGAATGGATTTTAGGCCTCACTTGTTGCCCAATCTGCTCATACTCCAACTTAGCCCACTTTTAAAGTTATCTAATGATCCAATAACTTCATTAATAGTTCAAAAATATCATTAACTTATTAATCACTCAATTTTATCAATTTACCCCTTTTAAATACTAAATTAAAAATGTCACAAAAATTGTAAAGAGAGATTTTGTTCCTTGCAAGAGAGGTGTTCTCTTATGTGAGAGACTTACTAGTGTAGTGAAAAATTTGTAAACGACTGTTTTGGTTAAAATTGAGATGTTGTTTGCAATGACTATAGCAGAAAATGGTCGAGAAACTGAAGAGTCAAGTCCAGTGAGCAATCCAACAACAGGGTCAGCCTAGATCATGATGAACAACCTAACTAAGTCAGCACGGGTTTTTGAATTTCTTAAGACTTAGAGCTATTATCTAGACTGTTGTATTACACAAAACCATAACGTCATCGGGCTCCAAATCTTGTAAAGTCATGGCCATTGTCCATGAATATCTCAAGGATATGGGCTGACAGTTAACGACGGTACATATTGTGAATAGAAAGATCATGCCATGAATCTTATGGCCTGTGCCTATTGAAGCCCCAATATTTCGCAAACAAGTTTCAAATTTCATGGAAGCAATTGTCTTAGCTAAGCCATTATAAAAGGAGGAGAAGGTCACAGAGAGAAGAGGCCGAACAATAATCAATCACTAACACCCATCATACTTTTAGCTTTGTACTATATATTTTTAGATAGTTTTTAGCATCATTTTTAGCTTTATAGCCTTTACGATCTTGTATCTTGCACATTCAATTAATCAAATACTTGTTATTTCAATTTCTTTTCATCTTTTACATTCTAAAAAACTATGATAAAGGAGCTCGAGGATCATTTATTATCATTTGAAACTTAGTGTCTCTAGCAAGCCTGTTATTTTTGTTATTCACAATGAACAATGGCTCACAAGTGTCTAAGGAAACTTGTGGCTTGTGCTAAGATGGTAAGTACCTACTGAAGCTTGTATTTTAATAAAAAAATCTCTAGAGTGATTTTAAGAATGGATGTAAACCAAATAATCAGATTAAACTAAGATAAATCTTATGTATATTATCTTTGTCTCCAAACTCTTTATAAATAAATCTTATGTATAATATCTCAATCCCTAAACTCTTTACATTAAGCTTATTCATATATTGCATAATCTCTTGGTTCTTGTATTTAAAAGATTTACTTGATTCAAAAAACTTTGTTTTATTTGAACTGATTTAATTATCAGCTTTGAAAGAATTTGAGCAAACTTGTTTTTGCTTTTTCCTCTTATAAATAAGTTTTGTAAAGAATTTTGATGTGCATTTGTTTATATACTTGGTTTAGTAATTCATCTTATATTTGTTATCTTTCAAATGTTTTGATAAAACCTTACAACATAAGTATTTTGTGTGAACTTGTGCTAAACTTTGTAAAAAAGTTTTGTTTAATAAAAAAAAATTTTAAACAACCAATTTACCTCCTCTTGAGTGTAGTTATCTGGCCTAACAAAAGCGTTTTAATTTCTTTAATCCAAAGATAATTTCAAGGGTGATTTAATAGATTTTTAAATCATTCTCTCATCTCAAGTTATAAATTTCAAGGGTTCAAGTAAAAAATAAAAAAAAAATTTCATTTCAATAAAATATTTACATCCATGATCCTTATCTTATTCTTTACATAAAAGGAATCTTCCAATTATATTCAAAGCTTAAATCTTTCAAAAATAATAAACAATGCTTCATAAGGCATGAGGCAAATCGCATGATTGGCCTTGACACAGCAAAGGCCATGCCAATTTGGTCATTTGACTATTTCTTTTCCGGACAATCACGGAAGTTTCAATATGTAAGAACTAGGAAGCTAACATTCCATAATCTAAAATTATAAATAATTTAAAATAAAATTATGTGTATTAATAAAGTTCAATAGCATTTTACAAATTTATTTATTTTTAAATTAATATAAACTTTTAAATATACCTTTTATTTAACATAATTTTAAAAACAAGGCTTGTACATTTACCTTTATTACATATTTAATATATTTTTATTCAATTAAATAAAGGCATGTAAATTTTGATGTGTTAATAATATTAATAATAAAAATTTATATAAATAAATAATTTTTATATAGTAATTTTGATTTAATTAAAAATAAGTATCTTAAATATATAAATTATTTTATTAATTTTAAATTTATAATCATTTTAACTCTCTCTTCTCTCATTAAAAAGATAATATTAAAAAAATATTATTAATAAAATTTTATTTTTTAAATTATTTTATATTTTAGGATAATAAAACTTTTTTGATTTTGTTTTTTACATTTTGTTTCATAAGAGGACACCCTAACTAGTCACTTGCGAGACAGTGACTCTTCGTGGATCCCATCTTTCAAGCCTGCCGTCGGCCAAAAACAAAAAAAAGTAATAAAATATCAAAATTTGTTAAAAAATTGAAGTTGCTTTTTGCCTTTTCGATCTCTGTGTGAAGCTACGCATAGCACATGTAATCATAACGTGACGGTAATCTCGCTCCTCCTTCCCTTGTGCATGTGCTCTCTCTCTCTCTCTCTGTCTGGCACTCCGAAAAACCAACTGTTCCTAGTGACTACCACAAGAAGCATTCCATTGCAGAAAATCAAGGGGACCTTAAGATCTTCCTCTACTTGGCGTTCAGCCCAAATTCTTCTCGCTTCACCGCTCAATCCGATCCAATCCACCAATGAAGGCCGGCAATGCTCTAAATCCTCTCATCACTTTCGAGCACAAGAGGTACTTACTACACTTCTTTCCTATAGTGTCAATCCCATCTTTGCTCTCTCCTCCAAGCGTCTCTAACTCCTTCAATTCCTCTAGTATCCCTTTTCCATAGGATTTTCTGTTTTGTGCTCTCTCCATCTGTTAGATCCATCAAGAGTTAACTTCATCATATTGGGTTTTTTTCTATTTTTGATTTTAATTTGCAATTTGCTTGCACCGCTTCGTTTTCCAAGGCATTTATGCACCGACTTAGATGTGGAACTTCAGATTTCTGCAATTTGATTTGCTTCGTGGTTTTGGGTTTTCTATTTAATTACTGTATTTTGAAGACCGATCTTGCGTTGATTTGGTTTTTATGTTGACGGCTACATTTGGATTGAATTCTTGATGGGGAAGGTCGAATGTATTGTTTTCGTAATTCTTCATTCTTAATAATTGGGAACTGCACTGAGGCAATGCCGCACATTATGGGAAGTGGAGTGTGGGTTTTAGGCGAAATATGCTGTTGTCTAATCTAAGCACCCGGATGGCAAGTAATTTGAGCTGAGTTGCACTTCGATTCTTTCCCCCTTGCTTTAATTCTTGATAAGGTGCTTGTAAATCTCGTCGGATTCTTCTCTTGATAATCAATCTCTGTAATGCATTTTATTATGTTTTATTTTCTGGTTTATTTTCATTATTCTAAATTCGTTTATGACTGATTCGTAGACATTAATACCTGGTGGTGTAAACAGGGACGCCTATGGGTTTACCGTGCGACCTCAGCACCTGCAAAGATACCGTGAATATGCGAACATATACAAGGTTTTATCATCCTTCATTCCGTTTTTGTCAGTCTAAAATTTTACTGTTTTTGTGGAAAGATCGTATAATGTCATGCGCATTTCATTTTCTGAGTTGAAATGCTTAACAGAACAGCAGATTCAGACATCTGAAATTCTTGATTACATGTTAATGTGAATTGTTATTCCATGCAATGGGATATATGTTTTCTTTGGAGTGGAAGATTTTGGTGTGTAACACTTGTGAATTGTACTTTCAGGAGGAAGAAGAAGAAAGGTCAGATCGATGGAAATCCTTCCTAGATCGGCAAGCAGTATCTGTTCAAGTGGTTGGAAATAACCTAAATTTTGAGGAAAATGACAATGTCTTGCAGGCTGAAGCTGGAGAGAAAGAAGCCTCAGGGAAGGTTGTTAATGGATACGAGTCTAGCCATCAGAAACCTGATTCTGATAATACAGTTGATAATGGAAGTAAAAAAGAGGAGTTACAAGCATCTGAGGCAGCCAAAATTCATAGAGTTGAACTATGGACAGAGATAAGACCATCACTTCATGCTATTGAGGGTATGATGAGTAATCGTGTAAAGAAGTGTGTTGAAAGAAACAGGAAGAATGCATTGAGAGATGAACAAATGTTTGGAACTGGGAAACCACTATCTTATACTGATCAGGCAAAATCACAAAAAGGAGCATGTGAGGAGGACTCTGATGATGAGTTTTATGATGTAGAGAGGTCAGACCCTAGTCTAGATGTTCCTTCAGCTGATAGTTTGAATGCCTCTTCCAATGGTATTGCTGGTGATGCAACACCACTAGAGTATTCATGTCCTTGGAAGGAAGAGCTGGAAGTTCTTGTTCGTGGGGGAGTGCCAATGGCACTTAGAGGAGAGGTATTCATTATATTATTTGGATAACTTTATTGTGTTCGTTTGATAGAGCACAATGGCATCGTGCAATTCATGTAGCCGACCCCACATAGTGAGCTAAGGTTTGTTGTTGTTGTTGTGTTCATTTATTCCCAGTGACTTAGCCACTTGTTTGTTTTGGTGCTTTAGCTTTGGCAAGCTTTTGTGGGTGTAAAAGCAAGACGGGTAGAGAAGTATTATCAGAGCCTGCTAACTCCTGAGAATGATTTTGGGATTAAATTGGATCAACCAAGTATGCATTCAACTGATAAAGACGGGAAAGAAAATGTAGATTCTATTTATGCACCAGAAAAATGGAAAGGGCAGATTGAAAAGGTCTTTACCTACAATAATTCACCTATCGTTGTTGTTGTTGTTGTTGTGTGTGTGGGTGTGCAAGTTTTTTATTGCTCCTAATCTTATAGTAGAGTCCCTCAACTTACAATCTTTTGTTGTTTGTGCAGGATCTCCCTCGAACATTCCCTGGCCATCCTGCTCTGGACGAGGATGGTAGAAATGCTTTGAGGCGATTACTTACTGCATATGCTAGACATAATCCTTCTGTTGGTTATTGCCAGGTCTTTGCTTGAAGAAATAGTTATAAGTTTTATTTATCCCTGTTATTTTTACATAGGCTATGTGGTTATGATGGCTTCTGTGTCTTCAAAGACATAACTGTTTGCAAGCTAAAGAGATGTCTAAATGGAACTTGTGAATACTTTAGTGAGCTGACAAGACTTAAAGCCACTTGTTCACATTGGCCAGTTTCCAATGGTATTGAGAATTTGAGATGTCTGGATGCAATTTGTTAACATCTAACAATAACTGGAATTTGTTCTACCTTGCACTAGTTGCTTTCATTGATGCTTAAATTTCATTATTTTTGAATGACGAGTCAGAGAATCCAATGTTAATATAGATACGATTGGTTCTGCGAAAAGGAGGTCAGTTTGGGCAACTGGAAAATGGTTATTGCTTTTCTTCAACAAAATGATTAGAGCAGTGGGATAATGGCTGACCGTAGAAATAGTTGGAGATGATCATTTTGTATATCACCTTCAGGAGCTTACGTTGTCACTTGCTATCACCTTAGTATTAATTACTTGAAAACTTTGCATCTATCTTTCTGTTTGTATGATTGAATATTAGAGCAAAACATTTTGGCCTTTTGAGATTCAGGAACAGGAAGCTTGTACGCACCGGCATCATGTTTGATTCCATAATATATCTGTTTAAATACAAAAGGACTAAAACTGCCATAACAATCTGTCATCATGGCGTCAAAGAAATATAAAGGTTTTTGGCTTGGCATGTGACTTTTTTCTCTTAATCAAGTTGGCGAGTGGGAGTTATCCAGATTTAAATAAATCCTCTGACCAACATTTGCACTAAGGTTGCCGACGTCACCTGACTAATACTTTGCATAATGTTTATTGTTATCAAAGGCACTAGGGCATTTGCACTTGCTTGAGGGCAGAGGTGAGGTTCTCTAGAGCTCCTTGCCTCTGAATTTCATGGTGCAATGCCTTCAGGGATGGGCTCATCTTTAGTTTTGAAATGCACACCTTTATCCAAGGCACAAGGTATGGAGGTCAGCACCTCTATTTTCATGTTATTTTTTTCCTAGACTCTTAGTGTCGTATAAGAAAGTAAAGAAAGAGAGAGATAAAGGGGAAAAGACAGGAAGCAAAGGGAAATAGAAAAAGGGAGAGATAGATGAGAGAGGAGAGAAAACAGGACACAACTCAGTCTGTCATTATTCTCATAAGCCTTTGATTACTAGCTAGCCCAACCCCTCTGTTTATAACCTAATACCCTTAACCTTTATTAACTAACTAATCCTAACTACTGGTTACCCCTTAAGTAGCTCCCTCTTCATTTATTCATTACGTAGCCCTGTTATGATGTGAAAATAAGTAAGCTGCACAAAATGGTTTTCTTATATCAATTTAATTTACGGAGTATCAACTAATATTGAAAAGCGGGGTCATGTTCCTTCTTTTCTATTGATGACGGTGGCCATAAGTTTGTTAGAATTTGCTGGGAAAGTTGCTGGGAAAGTTATGAGGACCGTGGCATAGATGATTCTGAAAAATTTGACATGGGTTTCCTTTCGCTTTTGTATGAATACTCAGGTTGCCTCACTAATTTTGGGTCTAAGAATGTATAATCACAACTCTTGAAGATATACTATTTTATTTTCTTATTCTTGATTATTTAGTAATTTTGATAGTATTATGATTCAAAATTTCATATTAGAGTATGAACATATTTTGGTCAGGGAAAATGAATCTTTATCACTCAGTCTCTCCTCATCAGGATCTGTGCATTCTTTGGCAGCATCGTGTATTCTATTTTTCTATTTCGCATCAGTTCCTTGTGTATAGATAATTGTTTTAACTGTTTTAGTTCATTTCACCATTGCAATGTGTATGATTCATGTATATCAATGTGGCAGTTAAATGGTATAAACAAGAATCTTCTACATTTATATGCATATGTACCAAGAATGACTCATGCTATACTCAGGATTCGTGACAGCTGACCTTCTGACTTAGCTTGTTGGAATCTTTTACATTGCAGGCTATGAACTTTTTTGCTGGTCTATTGCTGCTTATGATGCCTGAAGAAAATGCCTTTTGGTAGGTACAAAGATAGATTATTGATTGACTTTTCAGAATATATGAAGTCTGACTGTGCTCCTTCCATAGTACTGACTATAGGAAAAAATCAATATCACTGGTTTTTTCCCCAATAAGCACTCTTTCCTGAATTGATGTCTGACTAATCGCTTCAGGCCTGCACGGCATCTAACAGCTTTGTTAAGCATATGTCTTAATATTTATACATATTTATCCCCAACTGTGATTTTTCTCAGGACCTTGATGGGAATTTTAGATGATTATTTTGATGGCTATTACTCTGAGGAAATGATAGAGTCTCAGGTGGTGTTTTCTATTTCATTCCATTCCATGTATTCATTAGCAAATTCAACAACGCATTATGAGTATGATTGCCGTTGGACATTTATTATATTTTCACTTAATTAGGTGGACCAACTTGTTTTTGAGGAGTTGGTGCGGGAGAGGTTTCCCAAATTGGGTTTGTACATTGTTCTTCACTTTTATCTCTCCTTGTGGACTTAGTTTTCAGTTTCATTGTTGATTTCTTGTGTCAATTTTACTTATTGTGCAGTCAATCATCTAGATTACCTGGGAGTGCAGGTGGCATGGGTTACTGGACCATGGTTTCTTTCCATATTCATGAACATGCTTCCTTGGGAAAGTGGTCAGGTTTTATGCTTTAGCTATTGAATTGTGTACCATATCAGTCTTGTCTCATGATTTGTCTTAAAAAGTTACTCATACATCACATCATTGTTCTTCATTAAATAGAGTTATCTTCTGATTTATTATAAATATTTTGACTTCAGTTCTACGAGTCTGGGACGTGCTTCTTTTTGAAGGAAACCGTGTCATGCTATTTAGAACCGCGCTTGCTTTAATGGAGCTATATGGTACTGGGTAGAAAATTGCATTTTTATACTTTTATAACTTTTTTCTGGGGTCAAATATTTTTATGGATTTTTGGGGGAAAAAAACCATTGACACAGGTTTTTTCATTGTAATACTTATTTTCACTCTGTTTATTTTAGGCCCTGCATTGGTAACAACAAAAGATGCTGGAGATGCAATAACTTTGCTTCAATCATTAGCTGGTTCCACATTTGATAGCAGTCAGCTTGTGTTGACTGCTTGCATGGGTTACCAAAATGTAAATGAAGTCCGATTACAAGAACTTAGAAATAAACATCGACCAGCTGTAATAGCTACAGTTGAAGAAAGATCAAAAGGTCTTAAAGCTTGGAGGGATTCTCGGGGTCTGGCATCTAAGCTATTTGGTTTTAAACATGATCCCAAATCAACGACAGAGACAGATAAAGCAGAGCAATTGATTGATGGTAGTTTATCACGTACAGAATCTGGTTCCACTAATGCAGATGAGATTATCATTAGCCTGACAGGAGATGGTGAGATAGATACTGTTCCGGATCTTCAAGAGCAGGTTGTGGTGCCTTTCCTGTTATACAACTGCCCTGATTATATTAGATGATAATGAAGTTAAATGTTGTTGTATGAATCATATTATCATGTCTAGATTCATGTTTTCAGTATATTTTCTGCAATCGAATAGTGAGTGTTTCCCTAAAAATTTGATTGAAATTAGAGCATGCCTATGAAGTGATGATGTGCTCATATGTAAGAGCTCCATGTAGGTAGCATGGTTGAAGAGTGAACTTTGCAGATTGCTAGAGGAAAAAAGATCAGCTGTTCTCAGGTACTTGCTAGAGGAAATCATTTTTTTTCTGCATATAATTATTGGAAGTTTGTCTCAACTACTTTTGCTGCTTTTGTGCATGTTTGTGTCCCCTATTTAGTGGCTGATGTTCTGGATTTTTGTCTCCATGACTTTGCTTGACATGTGGCTTATTTCATGGGATACTAATAGCAAATATTTTGTCAATTCATATATTTACTGATTTTTATGGGAATTGGCAAACTTGTTGCCATGGTCCCTATAAATAGCTTGCAATTTTATTTGAATTAATTAGCTATTCTAAGCTTTGTTATTCTCTAAAATTGTATGCTTTTGATTGGGTGGAAGGATTTATAGATTTTGGTAGGTAGTGGGGGAAGTTAAAATCCAAAATTTCAGTGTTAGAAATTTTGTATATTATTTTTAGAATCTGAAGTTTGGGCTTTGTTGTTAGTGTATATTTTTTAGCCTCACTGCCCTGGTAGTTGGTTAGTTCTTTATTTTTGGTGTCAGGGTTTGAACATTTCCATGATAGTTGGAATGATTATGTACTCCATATAATATTAACTCTTCTAATATCTGTTTCAGAGCAGAGGAGCTTGAAACAGCGTTGATGGAGATGGTCAAGCAGGATAATAGGCGACAACTGAGTGCCAAGGTATATTCTAATCCCCAAAGGCAGTTCTGTTTTTCCCATCATAATGTGTTTGTGTGGTAGGACTTCCATTGTGATTTGTTGCTTTGTTCAGCTTGCTATCGTTGCTAAACTAGTCTAGCACTGGAACATGGCCCTATAAAATAACCAGAAAAAAAAAACTCCTATTTATGATTTTCTTCGCTAAAAATTGTAAGGCATTTTTAATCAAATCTCTTTCCCAAATAAAGTAATTATTTATTTGAAAACTAATAATATTTTTTCATATTTACCTTTATTTAATAGAGAGTTTTACTCTAAAATGAATATAAAGTAATTTATTCATTCATTAGGAGTACTTTTGAAAAAAAAGTAATAATTATACTTTGGAACATTAAAAAACGTCTTATATTTTTGAACATATAACTCAATAAAAAATACCTTACATTTTTGAACGGAGGGAGTATATCAATATTAATAAGCAAGGCAGTAATTTTAAATGATTTTAGGCTTATTTTAAGGCATCCTACATAAAAAACCCGGACAATACCTGAGTTTGCATATTCCACTAGATACTAAGATATGAAATGACATGTGTCAATGCCAAATTGCCGTTATTGATAATCCCTAATCAAATCCTAAATTAGCTAATTACCTAAGTGCGGACCTTAATACTTAAGTAAATTATTAATAATTAATTTGCCTTTTTATTTTGCATTGGAATTGGCATATAGTAGGCCCTTACCATTGTTTTCAGATTTTTGGGTAAAGAAAAATAATTACTGGAGCCAGGGCTCATGAATCTATGAAGGTATATGGTTGAAAGGATCTTTGAAGATATGTAATTTCCTATTACATATTTGGTGAGATTATTATGTGATACCCAAGCCGTAGTAAGCATTGCAAAGAATTTGGTCCATCATGACAAAACTAATTATGTTGATATTGAGTATTGACTGGTATTTTATCAAAGAAAAAAGTAGAACATGAAATCATTGAGATGATTTATGGCTTATTTGTTTAAACTTAAAATAAGTAATTTTTTATACTGTTTATAGATTTTATGAAAAGTAATTTACTCTTTATGGATTTTTTGAAAAGAAAAAATCATTCCAAGGTTACATTTGATTGTTATAGAAATATGATTTTTTTTTTCTAGATTTTGATTATTTTTGAAAATTTAAACAAACATTATAAAATTTTTCAAAAGTGTTTTTTTTAATAAAAAAAGATGAAACAAAAGGACTCTTGCGACACATCATCTAACAGTTGGTGTTCTTACCAAAGCTGTTATAAGAACCCACTTTGATGCTCATATATCCAAGATGCGAATGATTTTTATGTACTTCTAGCTTGAGGGGAAGTGCGGACATACAAAGTATTTCAAGTTTTTTCTGGTGTTATTCCAAATGTGTTAATGCTTAAGAGTATATTTGTATATTTATTTTAGTTCCTGGGACATCTTTGAAAAATGGTCTCTGTCTCATGCCTAAATACAGCTAGTTAAAGGGAAGGGAAGATGGGAATTTCCAACTAATATTATGAGATGCTTTGTGGGGAACTTAAGTAGGTTGTTCTTCCTCTTCTATAGCTAGCTGTTGGTGAGGGTTTTTCATATTAAGAATTGGTCAAACTGGTCACGTATATTTTTTTTTTTTTAAGTTTTAATCCATGTTTCTAAACTCAAATTTATGCATATTTATACTTAATGAGCATTGGGAAGGGAAACAAAGAGCAAGTATACAAAAAATATGTATATATGTATGTATTCTAAAATTATACATTATTAAATAAGTATATAATTTATGCATATTTTTACTAGGGGTCCTGAGGACTAGTCAAGAACCATTGAACCGGCCTTGATCTGATCAAAACTGGTAGAATCGGTGGTAGAATCAGTTGAATTGGAGATATGATTTTTTGGAAAAATCAATCATTTGATCCCTATAGATTTTAACTTTATTAAAACTTAGTCCTTCAACTTTGATTCTTGCAACTCATTTCCTATAGTTTTGTCTATTTAAAATGTTGGTCCTTACATTTTTGAAAATAAAATTATAAAGAATAAAGTTATTACTAAAGTTTAGGGACTAGTGTGTTTTTTTTTTTTTTTTGGGACCAACTTGGGACTAGTGTTTTAAATGGCTAAAACTATAAGCATTGAGTTGCACTTAATTAAAGTTAAGGGATTGAATTACAATTGAGTCAAAATATAAGGACTAAGTTGTGTCGAGTTAAAGTTGAGGAATTGAGTTGTAATTGAGTTAAAAGTATAGGGACCAAATGATTAATTTTTTTTCTATTTTTTGTTTTTATTTTTAATTTTAATCCATGTTTCTAAACTACAATTTATGCATATTAATGCCTAATAAGAATTGGGAAGTGAAAAAATGATCAAATATGCAAAAGATATGTATATACTTTTGTATTCTAAAATTATAAATTATAAATTATGAAATAAGTATATATGTTCTGTATAGAGAAGATGAAGTAATATACTCCTCCGGTTTTGTATATTAGTCACTTTCTAGAAGCATAATTTGGTCCACTTTATAAGTCATTAGTTGTTGGGATTGTTTTGTTTCATTTTTTTTTTTTGGCCAAAGTTTTGTTTCAAATTGAAATCTCCAAATTACCTTGAAAAGTAAGAAAGAGAAAACAAAAAAATAACATTATATTATGTGTTTGCTTTTTGCTTTTTCCCTTGAGGGTTATATTTGAAATTTTACTTACTTTTATTCCTTGCACTTTTGTTGTATTGGTATTGACGAAGCTAGTAGAAATGACTTATAAATAGGACCGGAGGGAGTATTGATGAATGTTGCCTTTCTTTCTTATTATATTTTATTTTTTAGATTTACATATTCACTACTCTTATTATGGATGGTTATTCTTTTATTTTAATCATATATGATTTAAAATATATTAATTTACTGATGACCAGTTCAACCATTATTTGACCCTGATCCAACCATTGAACCATGAAATGGTGTCTTGACTGGTTCGATAGTTAGTCCAATTTTCATAACATTATTTATGACAAACACGTAGATTGATGCAACAATCATCTTCATCTTAAAAAATCTTGGGCAAAATATGAGATCCCCATATCAATTGACAATATCTGCCCAAGAATTAACTTTTTTCTGCATGCGATTCTTTACATGTTGCCAAATCCTGCATAGGCATTGTATACATGACCTTTGGTTGTGGCAATGATAGTTTGACCAGGTTACAAGCCATAGGCTGTCAAAAACGTTAGTTTAGATGATTTCTTGGTGTCCGAGTTTTAACTTTTTTTTTTTTTTTTGAGAGTTGTAGAACTCACTGCATGTGGTTCTCATCATTGTCAGGTTGAGCAGTTGGAAGAAGAGGTCTCTGTGCTTCAGCAGGCACTTGCTGATAAGCAAGAGCAGGAAAATGCTATGCTTCAGGTATCAATTTTGTTTGGTTTCTTATTTACCTTCTTTGGGAAAAATAATCGCTTGCAAAGTTGAACGATTTATTGCTGGTCTTCTAGGTTCTGATGCGGGTAGAGCAAGAGCAGAAGGTCACTGAGGATGCTCGTAGGTTTGCAGAGCAAGATGCAGAAGCACAAAGATATGCTGCCCGAGTGCTTCAGGTTGCCTTTTCCCCCTCATACATAAATTTTTATTTTAAATTTAATTTAATTCATCTGTTGTTGCCTTACAATTCATGTTGTGTGGTGAGCATGGAAAAGAATTTACTTAACATACACTTGTTAAAATACTGTAACTACCTATTTATACTAAAGAGTTTGCTCAAGTAACAAACAGCCTGGTTGCAGTTTTACTTGCACTCCCGGCTCCATATGAGCATATGTTTAATCTCCTTGACTAGATCTCTCCCTGGTTCTATCTGACTCAGAGATCCCTCTTTGTTTAACAGCTTTACGTGAGTCATTTTCACAGCACAACGCGCCCCTCTCCTAGCTCCCATGCGTCTTTAAACCCCATTAGGCATGGCTATAGTTATACTGATTAATGCTCTAGGAACCTGTCTAGAGACCCCAGGAAATACAGAATAGGTTAGGGTAGAAACTTGGAAACACAGAAAATATGATCAGCTAAAACCCTAGTCCCTAGAAGAACTAGTTTTTAGATCCTTACAACTCAGAAGTATTCTATCAGGAACACAGAAGCTACAAGTATAAAACTTGCAAATGAATTCAATATTATTTATACCCTTGAGGAAAACTGAATGCAACTTAACTTGTTCATTAAATAAACAAAGTTTCTAATCCTAAATGACTCTAAAAGATTAAAAAATATATATATTCTAAAATATTCTAAAGATAAGAAGGATAAGATGCCATCTATCTCAATTTATTCTAGGATATAATATAAATATTATATCTTTAAGATCTTCATTTGGCGCCCCATAAACTTAAAAAGTATATCCAATGGACTTTACATGATAATAACACTTAATGGATAATCCAAAAGATTTAATTGAAAATCCTAATTAAATAAATAAAGCACAAAAATAAACTAATATAAACCTAACTAATCATGACACTTCGTCCTTGAGCATCGTAATTCTTCACGGGCCTTCTTTAGTTATTGGACCTCTGACTTGTTCACCTCTTGTCATGTAAGTGCCACATAGGATGCCGTGTGGAATAGGATCTCGACCTCCATCATTATACATTTAGGCTATGCTATCCCAATGTTGAACATGAATCCTTGTCTAACATCCTTTGTTATCTTTACTAACCCTACTGCAACCCTCTATCCTTTCCTTCAACCCACAAGCATTGTCATCTTGTGGGTATCCTCCAACTGGACTGCGTTGAGACAAATGCTTGTCATCTCTGTGATCTTGATCATAGCTACAATGCTGCTTCCTTCAACAATATTGTCATTCCTTGACTTCCCACAATCCCACCTTCCAACAGATAATGACAAATAAGATCTCCCATTGCACACCTTCTCTCATCTTCTACTCAGACCCCATTCAATTCATCTTGTAATGTCTGTAAAATAAAAGAATTTTATGTTGGAAGAAGGGAATCTTCACGTTGCTGTAACCTCATCTCAACTCCTGGGCACTTGGAGTGTATTTTCATCACTCATCTTGCACACTCCACGCATGCTTGAGTAACAGAGACTCCTAGAGAAATGTGTTGCATTAGTCAATAATCGTTCATTCAAGACAAGCCACATGGATAACTTGCAAAACGTTGTGAGACATTTAGTCGCCACATACTTCTCCAAACTTAGATCACATCCATTTGCTTGTCTTTGACTAGGCTATTTTGTTATAAGCCAATTTAACAAAGAAGATACCATTTGAAGATTATCTATATCTAATCTTATCCTGATCCCTTTTACCGTTGATTCTCAAGTCACCAATTCCCTTGAGCACTGACCTTAGGAGGTGTTCAAAACTGTTCCAATTCCAGTCCCCATTTTTTGACATAACTGCAGTAATGAACCATCCTTAGCATCCTGTGGAATATCTTGTATGGCATATTTCTCTAGCTCATCTAGATGAGGCATCCACATGTCTTTCCAGAATTTAACTATCTTTGTTTCTCCAAAATTCCCAGAGACTCCCTTCAATGTGTTTTCCTGGCATTTTGTTGATCGCTGCCCATACACATGACCTCTCCTGTGATTATTGTGTGGAATGATATCATTTCCACACCTATTCTTTTAAATGATAATTCTCACCCATAATTTTTCACTTCTAGTGATTAAATCTCCCATCCCAACTACATCATAAAAGCTTTGTTTTGGAGCTTGGCGTGTCTTAGAACTAATCCTCCTGAATTCCTTCGTGATCGCACCTTGTCCTGACCAACCAGGCATGACTTCCTCTCACTATTCGTCCTACCCCAAAGGAATGACCTCTTCTTTCCTTAACTTCCTCACAGCATGAAGAGGGAAGGGGTCTAGTCTACATTGCATAGATAGGAATAGTCATTACAGAAGCAACAAGCTTGTGTTTACCGGCTAAAGAAAGGGTGTTCATCTTCCAGTTTGATAACTGGCTACTAATTTTTTCAATCAATGGTTGATATAGTTTGACAATTTTTTATTCTAGTTTATTGTTTAGGGGTTTAAATTAAGCTTTTCTTTTAAGTGGTTATTTGACACCCGTTGTATCTGGTCTTATGAACATCTTGCATTCATTTAATTCTTTTATGTTGCCCCTCCTTTTGAGTGATTACTTTTATTAGTTGTTTTGAGAACTGTCCTCTTGGACTATTGAAATATTTCCTTTGGTACTATTTATAAGACATCTTCTAGAAGTAATTTTGGGTCCAAAATATAGGCACCTTGCAATAATTAAACCACTTTTTTCAATTTTATTTTTTCTTGATTAGCATGAAGATATTTAATGTAGTTGTATTATTATTTAAAGTCAATGGTAAAGATAAAAGTACATCTCACTTTTTTATGATATCAAGAAAAAAAAATTAATTTTTTTAAGATGCGTGAAACAGTTGAAAGTGTCTTATAATAAAAACCCGAGGGAGTATTAAATAAAAGTAACCAATGTTTTCTTTCTTCCTTTGGTGAGAAATCGTTGTCTTAACTATCAGTTCATGGGAGCCAAACGTGGTTGGAATAACTTGAACGGGCTCTTACTGTGGGACCCATAGGAATGATTCTGATTAAACTTAGCAAACTGGAAATCTTATCTAGACCCCTTTCTTTTATGGTTTTCTGTGGATATGTAGGCTTTGATGTTTAGCATTTGATGGGACCACACTAGTGGCAACTTGACAAAACTGCTTGATTAAACTGCCAAGCAAATCAATTTTCTTGGAAAGTTCAAGTGTTGTCAATGTAATTGGGAAGTCAAAGTGTCATGTCAAAAAGTTAATATTTCCCCTCAAACGTTCTCTGCAATAGTTTCAATTTTATTGACAAGGCTAATGGACTTGAATTTTAAAAATGAAGTTTCATTTTCCTATTAGGCCAAGGTCTTACATTTTCATCTTTATTTGTCCTAGAAATGATGCTTGCAATTTTGGCCATTCTTTTCAGATTTCTTTTTAACGGTCCTTTCACTATCCCGCCCCTAGGAATGAAGTTTCATTTTCACATATTGTTCAGATTAGTTACTTTTAGGTGCCTCATTGTGTCTTGTTTTATTCTATTTCTCTATTTGGTAAACTCTACTTGTCTGTGTCTTATGTCATATCTTTGTCAATGCTTCACTGGATTGCCAAGTTATGTTGTTGTTCTTGTAACAAATTCCAATTTACGCATATTATTCTCAGGAAAAATATGAAGAAGCCAATGCTGCACTTGCTGAAATGGAGAAGAGGGCAGTTATGGCGGAATCAATGCTTGAAGCCACATTGCAGTATCAATCTGGCCAAGTTAAAGTGCAAGCATCTCCACGGTGTGTCAAGTTTGCCAAATATCTTGTTCTCTAACCGTGTTTTTATGGTTAAAATTTGTCTTCTTTCCATTTTTTTTTGGATGAAATTGAGTTCAACCTTGGACATGTTATCAAACATCTCTTTCCATGAGAATAAAGTTGGGAATAGATGCATCCTTTAAATATTGGAAAGGATATCCAAGAGTTGCTGCTATACCTTTGATCGTAAACAATGCACTCGATTTTCTTCACCCTGATTCTTTCTTGCTTTATAGGTCTTTGCAGTCCAATTCCGAAGTATCACGAAATAATCAAGAGCCAATGCCAGATGTGCCTGCTAAGAGAATAGGTTTACTTTCTCGTCCATTTGGCCTCGGTTGGCGTGATCGAAACAAGGTTAGTCTATGCATTAAGCTCAATATTTTTAGTCAGGTACACTGAATTAAATGGAGCGAAAAGAAGAATGACATAAAATAATTTTGTAGATGAAAAATGTCTTTTACCTTTTAATGAAAGAAATAATTTTGTGAATGAAAATTCACCTAGCACTTGGATCAATTGGTTAGGGGGTTGGTTTAGCTTAGTTAGAGGTCTCAGGTTCCAGTCTTGGACATGTACCAGTAAAAGAGGTGCTTTCAAACTGCTGACTGGATTCATTTGGGTCTAAAGCCTAGGATGCAGGAGTGAAAGCACGAAAAAAGAAATAATCAAAGTCAAAAGTTCTTGTTAAGTAATGATAATTGAGATATAATAAACTCTGCATATCTCAATCTTCAAGTAAGAGAAAAGACTATCTTTCCCTTTTTTTTTTTTTTTTTAACCAGCAGGGTGATCAAATTATTTGTTGCTCAGGGAAAACAAACTAATGCAGAAGAACCCGCAAAACCGAGTAATGCAGAAGAGCCAGCAAAGCCGAGTAATGCAGAAAAGCCAGCAAAACTGACTAATACAGAAGAGCCGGCTGAAGGAAAAGCCACCATTGAGGGACAAGGTACAAGGAGCCACCAAGAGAATAATGGCCATAAAATACAGAATGATTAGGAAAGAAGATGTTAGGAATATATATTTTAGTCTCCTTCCCATGAAAGTTCAATGAGGAAGTAGCTTCTTGTTTGCAATTTTTGTTTAGAGCGAACTGGTAATTCATTCATTGTTTGTTCACTAAGATCCCATAGAATAATATAAGCGTATTTGTGAAAGGAAAAAGAAAACAGGTTGAGCTCGATTGTTACTCGACTTTCCCGTTTGTATTGGTCTGAAGGAGTGAATTTGTAGTAGCAAAGTTGTATATATATAATTATATATTTTATTAATTGAGTTTTCTGTTCCCTGGTTCTTGGCCTTTATCCCTAATGCAGTTTTCTGTGCATAATAAGGAGCTCATCATTTTATATTAATTGCAAATACATCTTTTCTTGATCCTAGCCGTCTGGTTTCTTTATCGAAACATTTCATCTCCTTCACACGGAGAATCCCTTTTTACGTCAGGGATTTCTTGAAGCAAATCAGTTTTTTTGGTCGAAAAAGCAAATCAAATCAGTGGCACGAGGCATCTCGTTTTATATCGAACCCAGAAAAAGAAACACACCAGTGAGTGACAGAAAAGAAGGGCAGTGAATTTGCCACCAATTTACAATTTGAAATGACATGTCAAAGAAGAGTAGGAACTTGTCTGCCATTTTGATTTTTGACAAAATAAAAACTTTGTCACCAATTTAAAATTTAAAATAAAACGTATAAACTATAGTGACTACGTAAGAATAGATAATGACAACTTTTATTAGGCAAATAACTAAAATCTAATAGTAAATTACAAGTATTTTTCTATCATTTTTTTATTAGCAAGTACAACACATGGAGGATAGCTTCGACTTAAGAATAAAGAATGTCAACTTCTCTTAATCAAATATCTAAATCCTAATAGCAATTACAAGTATTTTTTGACATTTTTTTTAATTAGTAAAAATGCACCATATCAAGGACACTGACTACTTAAAAATAAGGAATGACAACTTCTCTTGAACAAATAACTAAAACTTAATAGCAAATTATAATCATCTTTCTATCATTTTTTTTAGTCCCCAAAATGCAAGATATGAAGGACAGTAACTACTTAAGAATATGGAATGATAACTTTTCCTAATTCTTGGGCAAATGACTACAACCTAATAGCAAAAGGTGACTACATCCTAATAGCAAAAGGTACTTGTAACTTGCTATCAGGTTTTAGTCATTTGTCCAATAGAAGTTGTCATTCCATGTTCTTAAGTAGTCATTGACCTCCATATGTTACAATTGTTGATGAAAAAAATAGTAGATTGGTGCTTGTAATTTGCTATTTGGTTTTAGTCGTTTGCCCAAGAAAAGTTGTCATTCCATATTCTTAAAGATTTGGATCCTCTTCATAATCTCTCTTAATACATCTCTCCATGCTTAATCTCATCCATTCATTTAATTATTCATTTGATTTAATGGTGTTAGATTGCTAATTATGGTATCAAAATAAATATACTATTTATTTAATGATTATAATAAATAAGCATTATGAACTTACTTTCAAAAGCATTTAAGGGATTATAATAAATAATCTATTTTATTTTAATGCCATTATTAGCAATATCATACCATTAAATAAAAAAATTAAACGAATGGATGAGATAGGTATGGACAAATGTATTGAGGGAGAGTATGGAAAGGATCCAAAAGGGGTCAAGGATTTCCAAATGTTGCATTTTACATTAAAAAAAATGGCAAAAAAATACTTATAATTTGTTGTTAGGTTTAGAGCTGATAATACAAGTCAATCCATAACCTGCAGGTTGGCCTGCAGCAGGTTGAGGGGCGGGTTGGAATGGCTTGTATTTTGCGCAGGTTGAATTCCGCCAACCCATACAACCTGCAGCAAGTTGTTAGGTTAACAGGCCAACCCACAAGTAAAAAAAGTAATTTTTTTAAATTTTAAAAATTATAAATTTATCTCTTTTTATTATTTTTCATGATAAAAAAATCATGTATTCCCCTTAAAAATTAATTCTCCAAATAACAATTAAAGTATTTCTAATTAAGATATGCTTATATTACCACTTAAATATAGACTAATTTAATTTTGTGATCTTTTTGTTTTGTAGTCTTTTAGAAAACTGATCAGTATTATACATATATGAATTAATAAAAATGCTCTGTCTATCCTCTTTTCTCTTCATATTGTTTTTGCACTTTTGCTACAAAATTGATGCCCCAATTTAAAATATGAATTATTTTTTTTAAAAAATAATGATGATTTAAACTCTAACCATTAGATTACTACTCATAATACATTCAGTTCATATCACTTAAACGTTCTAATATCTTTGGTATTTGTTTTTTTTCTTTTTTGTTTAAATTAAGATAATAATATAATATATGGCTAGCACTTCATAAATATGTTTAACTTTTTAAATAAAAAGGGCAACTAAACTTTTTTTTTATTTGCTAGCTTAGGTAAAACTATTTATAAACAAGATAATTTAAATAAGCCATTATATGAATGAATCAAAGTATAATAAAATATTTTATTCATTCTTGTCTTGATCGCATTCAAATTATATTACATCACTACTTAAATATATGAGCAGTGTGCTTTTATTGTTTTTTGTCATAATTTAAACTTGAATAAATAAATATAAAAGTATCAAGTACTTAGATTGTAATTTCATGCATGCTTGCTCTAAATGCTTTACTTTAGACTCAATCTTATTTATTTATTTTGTCTACTTTTTTAAAATATAAGCAGGTTAACCTGCTGTGAGTTTAAGTTATGTGTGGTAGGCCAAAATCGCCCCGCATGTAATTGAACCTATTTTCTTTAACTGAATCATATTACCAGCTCTAGTTAGGTTTTAGTCCTTTGTTCAAGAAAAATAATCATTTCTTGTTTTAAAGTAGCTACAATCCTCCATATATTTCATTTCCATTCAATTTTCAACTGGAGCAAATTTTTGATTTCGTCAAAAATTAACATATAGATAAGTACTCTCTCCTTTTTAAATTATAAAACACTTTTAAGAAAGATTTAGCATTCCAAAATATAAGATACTTTGATAAAAAAAAAGGTTTCATTAATAATACTTTTTTACTATTAGCCTTCTTATATATTTTATCTCTTCAATATTCTTTTATCAATGGAGTATTAAATCAATGATATTTTTGAAAGTTTATATTTTTATCTTAAAAAAGTAAGGTTACAAAGTATATTTAATGAGCTTTATTAAAATGAAATTTTGTCTAAAAGTATTTTATAATTTAACACGGAAAGAGTGTTTAGGAACTACACAATAATTATTTCATGTTGTGATATTGATCATTTATATATTTTAAAAACTTTTTTTTTGTCAATGACGTTGATTTTAGGGAGAATTACATTCAACACTCTTCTAAAAAAAATTAATTGTAGATAATGATTACTAATAAGTTTCATTAAAAAAAATAAATTATATTTTTATTTTAATAATAAATCATTCTGTATTAATATTTATTTGTGATTTTTTTTAAGGAGGAGGTTGGATGTAATTTTTTCTTGATTTTATACCATTTCAATCATGACATTCGTTTGGCGCACCAAACTATAAACCCTGGGGTTTTGAATCTTTTGACCAAAAAATAGTGTGTTTTTTTCCCCCAACAACCAACCAACAGAAGCAGAGCCACCTCCTCTTAGGCCCTGTGGTTCCAGTTCGCCCGCACTCTGTTCGTCGAGGGTCGAACTGTGAATTTCGAGTGACACTGCCAGTAGATGGAGCCTCGTACTTCGAACCTGCTGGACGAGGCCATAGGGTTTCACGGCCACGACAAACCTGACCCTCTGAGTGGTCGATTCGTGCTTGTTGAAGACTGCATAGAGACCTCTGGAGCTTTCGTTCTTCACCACCTCCTCAAGCGCTTCCTCTCTTCTCATCCTGCTTCTGTCGTTATCTTCCTTGCCTTCAATCATCCATTTGCTCATTACGACCGCATCCTTAGAAAACTTGTTTGTTTCCTACTCCTTTTATCTCTTTCGTGATTGTAGGTTGCTCTGCTTTCGATTTATTTATCAAGTGCTGCCGGGAATGGTTTTGTCTCACTGTTATGAGCTAAGAGTGCAATATGAATCTATTTGGGATTGTTAAGTTATTATTGTTCCTTAATTTTGTTTTGCTGATGGGATGTCTGGGTGGAAGATGATTGAAGGAAAATGATGCCTGTTTCCCCCATTTTTTGATAGAATTCCCTGGTTCGGAGTTATTAGCAAAGAGAAGATAATAATGAAACAATTTGGACTAAACCTTCGAGGGCTTTTTAATTTCCCCAGTGTGAGGAATTTTGGAGTAGAGAATTTTTCCAAATCCAAAACATGCCCTAAGGGTTGTGGTTCGGTCATTATTTCATCACTTGATGGATGAGGTGATTGTCTTTGTGATCAAAATTGAACTTTGACCTTGGGACTGTCTCCTGAGCCATGACTACCTCTTCATTCTTTCAGGTTCAGCGCCATATTTTTTACTCGACAGGGCTAACAATGAGGAATAGATTGGCTTTGTTGTTTCATTGAATGTGAAGCAAATATGTTCTGCAAATTAATGGCTTGCGCCATCATGTTTCGTGACATGCTTTCTTTTCAATTACTGTTATAGTCATTTTAATTATATCATCACTGTCACAAGTTTGGAGAGCTATTTGCTTTGACAAGTTTAGATATCTCGTATTTCTGCTAGATCATTCTTGTTCCTCTCATGGAAGAATCTCTGAAGCTTGACCCCACTCTGTTGTTGAGAAAAAAGTTTTGTTTCTGTCAAGAAAACCTATGAGTGGGTATGTATAAGTGTTTAGAGTGGTAGAAAATTTTAGGTTTATTCCAAGAATTTAGCTGTTTACCTGAGTAAAAATTGTTATTTTTATTGTTCCATTACATCTAAGATATTACAGCAACTTGTCTTAGCAGTTTAAGGTTTGAAAATGTATACTATGTTCAACTGGTTTTCCTTGTTTAGGAGTCGACAACTTTGTGTTTAGAAGATGTGTGTAGATTTAGGCTTACAAATGCAGTGAAATTCTAGCCTCCAAATGAAGTTATTGATCAAATTTGCCAGATTTTTTTAATTTATTTTTTCATTTTCGTTCAATCATTGTTTGAAGTTATTGTCAAATTTTGATGGTCACGTAAGTGTGGAGCAGTTTGATCCATAGGTGTCAGTATTGTTCACATCTTCTACTCTATTCTTACTTTCTACATTTTGAGGAAAATCATGTTGGTGCTGAATTATAGATAAATAGCAGATAGATGAATTGTGTTACTTATTAATGGTTCTTGTTTCAGGGTTGCAACTTAGCTTCTCAGAGAGATAATAGTAGATTCTTTTTTGTTGACATGCTTATGTTGCAGTGTCCAGGTGAGAACAATGAGGTAATAATGTCTAGTTCTATTTTGTCCCCTTGATGCTTTTGATTATATTATATTCCATAGATTTAAATAATTTAAGAGTGGATCTCTGTAGAGAGAAACCAGTAGATATATCTTATTGTGATGATCTTGCCATTTATTAAATTTAGAGAAGTGATATTTGCTAAGGGGCTTCCATTACCTAAGATGGGTGTACAAGTCTGCTTAAAGACTTTTGAAATACTGGCCCCATATTCCAGTACATTGACTGGTCTGAATTTTAAATATTGCAACTATGTTTAGTCTTATCCTCAATCTATCAAAATTGTAACCTGACTCCAATTATTACTTCCTTTTCTAGTTTATAAATGTATCCTTCTAGTTACGGATATAGCATATTACTAGAAATACAAATCTTTATGAAGGCTTATAAAATGCCATTCATGTCTCCAGTCTTCTCTAGTATTGCCTCACATTTTATAGAAGAATAGCATCCCTCAAAACTGTCCTTTTTCCCAAACATTTTATGTTTTTGCTGGCTCACCCAAAACCCTTGCTTTTTCCTTCTTTCTTGCTCTTAGTTTCCTAATTTCAATTAATTCTCATAAACATATACATGAACTATCCTCCTTTCTCACCTGTTAAACCTTGACCCTTCTGTTTCTTTTTCTATAAATAAATAATGTGATCACTCTGTTTTGTATGTGCAAGAAAGAGTGGGATAAAGCATGGAGGGCAATATTATCCTTATCAAGTTACCAAAAAGGAAAAAATCACAAACTTCAAAAACTATAAAAATGAGCATTAATTCAATAGAACCATGACCTGGTCATCCACATCTCACCATGACCCCACATGCTTTCTTTTAATAGCTGTGGCCTGGGGCCCGAGAAAACTAATTACTTATTTTGTCCTTTATGGTTATAAATCTCATTCTTTTGTCTGTTATCATTTTTATAACATTGGGTTTGAATTTTCTGGACATTGCTCTTTTTCCCTGCTCTTACCAGCTTTTAGTTGTCTTGCCTCGCTTTCTGGCAGTTTATCATAAAAGACTACTCATAATAAGGATAATGTAGACAAGTTACCTTCTGATGAGAAATTGAGGATAAAATGGGCTGCATGGTATAGTTGGGCCTACTGTGCATACACTTTCCGTTTTGTTGTTTGATGACAATTTAATTATATGGGATTTTATGGTTATAGATGTTTTTCAAGCAGCAAAGGTGACCTAGCCTCAAAGCTCAATAGAAGTAATAATATGTACTATGTACTCTTTGTAGTTTGTAGGTATTGTAGGCATGTGATAGGTAATTGTATATTCATCCTCAAATGTTTTTTGCTTAAAGCAGAATCAATAGCATGTGATGTTAATATAAGTTATCTTACCTTTGGGATCACAATCAAACTGAGAAATTTCACATAAACTCTCATGGACTGGAAGAATAATAATAATTACTAATTTCAGTGTTATTTTGACTAGATGAAGGAAAGCTCGCTAAAAATTGGCTTGCTGCTTTGTTTGAGAAAATTGAAGGAGTGATCCACACATTACACCCAGACAGCAAGAATTTTGTTTCCATCATGATAGATGATGTATCCCTTCTTGAAGTGGCTGCTGATGGCTCTTCAAATGATGTTTTAGACTTTCTGCATTATTGCTTGACTTTAACATCAGAATATGTAAGACAATATCTACTTGACAACGTGTGTTTTCATGCTTTATTTTAGAGAAAATATGATTTATTCTGTGACTTCCAGTGATAAAGTTTCTTAATTGAGTCCCCTAAAAATTCCGCCCTTTCCAAATAGTTCTGCCTAGGCATTGTCGTAGTCACTTGACAGATTTGCTAATGTTGGACAAATGGAAGGCCATGTGGCTATGAAATAATGACCTGGAGATGCCCAGCTTTCCATAAAATGGCATCATTTAGGCAAATTTCACAAAGAACATTGAGATAACATAAGTCCAAGTTAACTGCCACATGGTTCCTGTCTATGATATGATTTTGCCAGACAAAAAGGATCATTTTGATTTTGAGACCAACTTGGGAAGATTTATTTCTCAAGCACCCAATTGAGAAGATAGTAATCTTCTAGGAGCTAAATTGATTTACTGTTTCTTTATATGATAGGATTCTACATTTGTTGCGCTTGATCATAAGGATATCTATTTGAATGGGGAGAGGCCGATACTTATTTTAGAAATGGAGTACCTTGCAGACATTTTGATCAAGGTTGAACCATTAGCCACAGGTTTGGCAAAAGATGTGCATGGGCAGGTATATTTTGTCAATGTAAAATTCTTATTTCAGTTATTGATTTGACTTTTTTTTCTCCGGCTGATAAAATTTGTCTCGGGTTATTTAATAACTGTATTGTTCCTGTTAAAGAAACTGATTTTGTCCGGGGATCCGTATAATATTCATGATATTGAGGAGATGGTCCATAGGACTCACGGCTTAATTTTGTTTCTCTCTTTTTCCTGTACATCCAGAAGCTCTTCAGAGATTTATGATTATTGGTGGCATTGTAGTTTGAAATGTAATTTGCCATATGATGTTCCATTATTTTTGATTGACTATCTTTCATATTGATACATTTTTATGCAGTTGACAGTGATGAACAAGGGCGCGCAAAATCCTCGAACAATCCCATCAATTAAGATACGCAATTTCCACTTCAGGATCAAGGAAAATGGTACAGAGTACTTTTATGCTGGGACCAAAACCTAATCATCATTAAAATGCACGTGCGCAGCTGTTTACTTGTGAAATTAGTAAAAAACTAATGTATTGTCTGCATTGAGTTTCTTCCTTGTCCGGAAGTTGAGTTTTTATATACTTTAAGCGATGAAAACTTTTTATATGCTTTTCCTTGAATATCCCATTTTATCAAACTCGTATCTTTAGCAGGTAATTGCATCCAGAGTTCCAGCCTAGGTTAAAGATATATTTGTGGATTTTCTTGCTAATTTGGTACAGCTGTACTTGTTCTGAGCTTGCATTTTGGGTGGCTAGTGGTGTTCTTGTGCATGCTCAATCATATAAGCTTTTGTGGTTCCTTTGATTGGGTATTTAATGGTTTACATTGCGTTATTAGTGATATGTTAAATGTGCAAATCCAACTTGCTAGAGGTTCTTTCTCTTCCTCTTCCTCTTCTTCTCCTTCTTTTGGCCAAAAAAAAAAAAAAAATAAAAATCATTTACTCAATACAGTTTCAACATAGAATCACTACATCCACCATGATCTTCATGAGTACTCCTGATTTTATGAACTATATTACGCTTTTTGGGTTCATAAACACGTTGACCTATCTTCTCTTAATATCTTAATTATTTTTATTTTTATTTTTTAAATCTTATTCTGATTTTTTCCCCTAACAAGCAAATAGGCCCATCTCTATATTCTCTTTCTTTTCACAGACATCCAAATAGATTCTCTGTTGAATAACTTTTTTTTTTTTGGATGTTCCCACTCACATTTTTAATATACTAGTCCTTTCCCATATGCTATAAAAGTTGCCCTTTTCTTGTTGGCCATATTCCATTCTTTATGACTAGTGATCCTAGAATCTGTTTAAAGGTCAACGCAAATGAGTGGCTTGTGTGAGATTATACATCACATATTCTTAAAATACATTTAAGAAATTGGTATATTACAAAGCCACGTGATATTGAATAAAAAAGAAAAGCCACGTAATATGGAAGCAGTAGTTCATTTTGCATGTAGATTAATATGAGACGTTTTTATCATTGGTTTGAATTTTTTAACTATTGATTTGAATTTGTTCGGTTCATGTGTAACATGTCTTTTCGGGTAAGAGTTATATTTATGTCTACTTTTAAATATAAAAATTTAACTAAAGTATATATTTATCATTTAACTTTACACAATATTTCATTTTAATTATTTAACTTTATAAAATGTTTTTTTAGTCTTATAATCCTAACATTGTTAGTTTTATAGCAACAAATTTTTACATTTAACTTCCAAATACTAGCAAATATTTTTAAATGTTAACGTATTAAGTTTATTTTTTTAAAATAATAATGATTGACATATAAAAAAAATCATTTGAAACTAATGATACTAGAGTTAAAGGACTAAAAATATGTTTTATAAAATTAAAAGATTAAATTAAAACTTTATATAAAGTTAGAAAATTAAAATTATACTTTAGTCCAAAAATTCTCATGATGAGCTAAATTGTATATTTAAATTGGGATTTAAAAACCATACGGAAGGTTTGGAATATTAGAAGTCGTGTTAATTATTTGGTAGTTAGTGATCCTAATGTATATATAAAGGGCACTATTTTAGATTAAAGGAAGAGATGTTAATTTAACTCTTAACTCATTGTTCCACCTCAAAGTTGGGGTTAGTTTAACATCCTTCAGGAAAGGGTCATGTAGTTTCTTGGTAAATTATTTAGGAAGGGTTTGCCATCTTCATTATCATTTGTTGAGTTAATTTTCATCATCATCTTTGCTGTCAACCAAAAGAAATAAATTCTCAAGGATTGTATGGAATTGAGTTTAGTTTGTTTGAACCCTTAAATGTGTAATCTATGATAACAAAGGCCATAAAATCATGTAGAATAATGTAAGGTTTAATTGATATATGGGGAAAATACAGTTAAGGAATAATCCCAATTTTGAAATACTGCATCATAATTTTTTTTAAATGATAAGAACTACTACTACATTATTAATTGATTGAAGTGGTAAGGACTACAATTATAATAATCCAATTCACATTACTCATTTTTATAAATAATTGTAAACTTTCCGAAAGATCATAAAGTATTAATATAATATCATGACAATAATATTATTAGTTTTAACCAACTTGTTATTTAAATAATAATTTGAAATATATAATTATAATTTTTTGTTTTAAATTTAGAGACTTTTTTTTTTGGTTAATCAAATGTATGTATGTACTTATTTTGTCTATTATGGTAGTTATATATGTGTATTGTATCAAGCTACTCATTATCCAAAAATCACATTAAATTTTGACTAATTCAAATTGAGTCCAGGGAGGTCATATGAACTGCAAAACTCTTCCAACAAATATTTTCAAGCTGCTATACATGTAGGGCCAGCAATTTAGACGGGCCGAGCTTATTTGAATTAAATTTAAAGTATCCTGTCTTTTTTAAAAAACTCATATAATCAAGCCCCGCTCTAAAATCTTTGAGATTTGAACTTATTCGAACTGAGCCGTCAAGTTTAGTTTAAATTATTAGCTCTATATACATGTCAAGGGTTAAAAAATGTAATTACATTTAAATAAATAATTCAGATCAAAAGAAGAGTATTTGATATTGTCTTGAAAATAAATATAAAATCAAAATGAAGCAACCTACGACCTATTAGCTACTCGCAAAGCAGGTGATCGATGTCCTATATATTACATTTTTCTCAAATTTGCTGTAGCATGTCTGTTTTACCACCCCGCAAGAAGACTTTTTCTTTTCTATTTTTAGTTTTTCACCATAGTTGCTCCATAATATTTTAGTTTTTCGGAAAAATCACATCTGAGGCTTCAGAACAGAAAATTACACTTAAGACCCAATAGATTTTGAAACTATTCTGTAGGCTCAAGGGCTCTATTTGTAAATTCATTTTAGGGAGAAAAGACACAATTGCCCTTAAAAAATGAACTTTAGGTTCACCACCAATGAGCAATTTCTTGTTAATATATGAATTTAAAGTTATAAATTTGTAATTATATAGTTGTAAAAATTTGAACTTGCAGTCATGATGAACATTAATTCTAAATATTTAAAGCTATAAATTTTTAACTTTGACTTATGAATAGATGAACTTGTACTTATAAATATTCAAACTTTAAATTGTAAATTTGTGAATCTAGTCAACACGAGCTTGTTAACCTTAAACAAAAATTTCATTACCAATGAACAATTATTTGTTAATATCTAATCCTAAAGTTGTGAATATGTGAATATCCTGTTATAAAAAATATGAATTTTTACTTGCTGTATTTTCTCATTAAAAGTAATTGTGCCTTTTCTCCCTAAAACATATTTGCAAAATGGGGCTTGTAGAATCATTTTAAAATGCGTTGGACCATAAGTGCAATTGTTTTTTTCTCTGGAGTCCTAGATGCAATTTTCCCTATTTTTTAAGCCTTTTTCTTCGTAATTAGATTATTTTTTAATTTTAATTATATATATATATATATATATTTCTTTCCTTTTTTTAAAAAAAGTATTATTCACTTAATATGTCTTTACCATAGTTTTACTGAGCTTGACATTGAGCGGTTTAAATGGATCACAACTTTATTAAATGAAATTGCAATTTTTGAATAACATCATTATTTTTTTTAAAAAAAGTATTATTCACTTAATATGTCTTTACCATAGTTTTACTGAGCTTGACATTGAGCGGTTTAAATGGATCACAACTTTATTAAATGAAATTGCAATTTTTGAATAACATCATTATATATATATATATATATATATATATAAAAGTAAGGTTTAAAGCTATGAGAGAATGCCTTGTATTAATTTTTAGTTTGCTATAATTTTGTGCTTCAGGATTAGGGGTAGGAATAAGCCAGACCTCTATGAGGGGCTTACGTTCTGGCCTACTTCAAGCCTAATCTATTTACTAAATAGGCTCAAATTAGGTTTAGGCCTTTAATTAGGCCTATTTAGTTAAATAGGACAAGTCTAATTTTTTAAAGCCTAGCTTGCGAGCTTAATAGGCCGACCTATTTACTTAAATATATATATATATATATATATATATAATATCACACATACATTAGTTTCACCATTTAATTTTTAATCAATTTATTTTTTTTACTTTTAGTTATGTTTTTAATTAGATTGGACTTATATATTAATTTTAATGTTATGACTTTATTATTGTATTGTATTGTAGTTGGTAAGTTCTTTTAATTATTATATATTGTAATTGATAAATCATGTTATAGATTTATATTAATAGTCCTAAAGTATATTTGAGACATTTAAAAATAATTAAAAGGCTTACTTTTAAGTAAATTTTTAAATACGCTTTTAAGCCAGGCTAAGCTTTAAGTAGGTTCAAGTTTAACTCATGAGAACAGCTTTAGACAGGCTTGAGGCCAAGCTCTTGCCTCAAATTTATTACATAGGCTCAGGCCTATTTGATTAAAGTCTAGTTCGACTTAACCTATTTTTATCCCCTATTTAGTATGTCTTTCCTGCTATGCTACGTTCCAAAGTCAGGTTTTCTCTAGGTTTGAAATGATTTATTATTTTTTAATGTATAAAAAATATATTATTCAAGTTTAAAGTTAAGTGCAGGATGGATTATTAATTTTTATATGTATGTAAATATTATTTTTTACCTATTTAAAATTCAAATCTAATCTATCTGGCGATTCCAAAAATTTAGGATGATATTTTAAAAATTAAGCTTCATATAATCGAGTATATGTGTGTGTATATATTTAGATTTAAATTAATATTTATCTATTTATATCATTTTTTAGACTTATATAAAAAAATAAATTTTAACTATTTGAAATGAAAAAAATCTGATTTATCTAGATGATTTCTAAAAATTATTCAGGAAAAAATTATATGAATTTTATCTATTTTATTAGCTTGCATTCATAGATATTTAAAAAATGGCATTTAAATATAATAAATCATAAATATATCCTGTGCTTCAGAATTATATTTGAGATGATTTATTATATATTTATATAAATTAAATAATTTAAGTTTGGAGTAAGTTTTGAGGTTATTTATCATTTTTTATATATAAAATAAAACAAATTTTTATTATTTTTGATAGGTTCAGGTTGGAAAATAATATATATATATATATATATATAATAAAGGAGTGGTCACCTGCTATGTGTGCATCTGAAATTCAAATCAAATCGTTTAAAAAGGAGTGGCACATTATTTTATATTTTCATACAATAATAAAATTAAATATTGTTTATATTTTGATATGTCCAGTTTAAAAAATAAAATAAAAAATAGATATATATTTATCTATTTGGAATTTAAATTATTATTTAATTATGGGACAATTTTATAATATCTCCCTTTATCTTTGCTGATTTAAAA